TCTCTCTCTCTCTCTCTCTCTCTCTCTCTCTCTCTCTCTCTCTCTCTCTCTCTCGTTCTCTTTCTGGATATTAGAGTAGTAGCTCTCTGAGTAAATAATGTCTGATACAAGGAGCATTGGTGGTACACTGTATTGCATACTCTAGTGGTCAGCATACGGTGGAGTTTGGTGTGTTGTGCATGAGTAAGGAGTTGAGTCAGAGCCTGGAGAATCTCGGCGGGGCGCAGACCCTGCCGGGTCGGTTCTCCGTTCCATCCATTTCCGGCATCTACACCCGACACAAGCGTACCAGGTGAGCCTGAGATTAACAATCGCGAACAAAACGACCACGCTTCCTTCGATGTCACCCGGGATTTAAACGGTCGTTGGTAATTCGCACTTCGTATCTTTTATAACTATTGAATCTTTGTCTCTTCTTACTCTCTTAACGTAGCACAGTTTGATATACCCCTTTCTTTCCACTGAACTTTCAGCTTCGTGCTCGAATTCTTTCGCCCTAACAAGTTTTTTTCGCGCGTACTTGCGTATACCATCCTTGCCTAGCCTCACGACCGTTCCCGATCGCTTCTTTTTTCGGAAATTAAATTGCGACCGAATATTTTAGAGCACACAGTTATTAATTTACAAACTTCAATAATATACCTGTGATCGAAAAATAGTGAAACGCAACAGTCTCGTTTTCACAGCTCCTCGCCCGATAGTCTATCCGCGGAACGCGGCGACAACAAATCACCGGGCACAAATGCAAGTCCAGCGGCTTTATATAAGCTGACTGTGCCTTTACTAAGATGCGAAGCCGTCGATGTCAGGGATGCCGCGGTGCAGGCGATTGGGAAAGTAAACGCCGATGCTCTAAAGTAAGTACATTACTATCAAGAAGAAGAATGACAAAAGAGACATTAAATTGCAAAGAGATTATTTCCTTGATATAGAGACTTGATGGAGGAACTGGTACCTTACATCCGGGAAGCGGTTGATCGGAAACAGGAGAATATGAGACGGCGAAGAAGACGCGATGCTTTGAGATTGCAGCTAGTAAGAGTACTGGAATTAATCGCAGAGTATGGAACATTCGGTATCTGGTTAGTTAATTCATTTGATGAACTTTATTTTCTCACTCAACAAATTGGATTTATAAAAATCGTCTTTCTTCAGTCCAGCGGTATTAGATCGCGAGACACAATCTTTACATCCGACATTTGTCGAGTACATAGACGGTGCGCGCATTTATCTAGAAAACGAGACCGACAAGGAAGCGCCCGCTGTACGAGACATCAAGTTACACTTTTGCAACTTTATCAGAAAAATGATCAAGAGTTTTTCATGTAAGCGATTTTATTTAAATAATTTTGTTAATCGCGAAATATGTGTGATGCCTTAAGAGATTTATTAATCTTTTTTTCTAGTGGAGACATGCTATACTTTATTAAAGAGGGATTTAAGAAGAAATTTATTCATGCTTTTCGCTAGTTGGGCTGGTGTTTATGGCAGGCCGCTTACGAGCACGTCATCTCTACAAGAGGAGGAAAAGTCTTGCACGGAATTGCAACTCTCAGCCTTGCAAGCTATGAGTGGATTGCTTTGTTGTGGATCATGCTTTAATCCGCAGTCGCTTTCAGAAGAGGGTGCGATTTTGTATCAATGGCTAGATTTGTTACTGGCCAGTAAAGACGAAAAGGTAAGTTTTATAAATTGTCTCGTATAAAATTTCATCTGTAATGCGCGCGTATTAGCATTCAAAATTACATACAAAATTGTAGTTAATAGTCCATTATACGTTAAAGTATTTTATTTTGTACATTCTTTCTGTATCATATTTCTTATTTTAGATTTATACACTTGCACGCGAAACCGTCGTGTTACTGCTCGAAGGAAATCCCGATATTGGTACGCTTTTGGACTGGGTGGTTGATCGATGTTATACTGGTGCACCGCAAGTGGCCGACGGCTGTTTTCTCGCATTGGCGACGATTTTCAGCGCCAGGTACGCACGAAAATTAAAAGATATAAAATAAATATTTTATGTAAAAACATTTATTAGGAGAAAATACAGTATGTACACACAACGAGCAAAAGATATCAGACACACTTCTCGACAGGGCCACAAATATAATCGCGATAGAATAACAAAACTAATAAGCACTACAGCAATCGTCACTCCTTTTATGCTTTTCTTTTCTATTGCTTTTCTTCAGGGAGTATCCTTGCGACCATTACACGAGCGTCATCAATGTAACGTTAATGAATACGGGATGTCCTCGCGCACCAGTCCACGATGCAGCGCTTCAACTTCTTCAACTGTTGGATCAACGCTTCTTCGGAAACGTAGGTCCGCTTCCAGCTACGGAACTCGAAGCTGGTAAGTTTATAATTCACGTCTTTATCTCTGCACTATAATATGTATTGATGCATTACATATTATTTTTTTATTGTCTCCTTCTGACACATATTTACTTGATTATTTGAAACTGATGATATCATAATCCTTTCACTGGGAACTTTTGCGTTTCCTGAAAGTTTTTCTGTTGCGCATTGGTAAAGTGCAGCCGCTTTGTTGAGCTATATCTAGGCATAAATTCTGAAATTGTAAAGGAAGATTTTATCAAATCAAATTTATCGTTTATTTATTAATTTAATTCAAGACATAAAGATAAATTTTTTAATCAATGCAATATTATTTGCACACATTTTGTCATTATGTTACCTTATTATAATTGGGTAATTAAGTGCCTACCACACTGTTTTCCATGAATTTCCATCTGCACAAGAGTTCCATCTCTTCTAGTACTTGAACGCTTCGTACATATGTGAACTATCTCTCTGCGAAAATTTTGTCCGCTTGCGCAATAAAGAATGAAGTTTATTCCGAAGCTCGTGTCGAATAATAATTGACTCATTTGTTGCGCCCAAATTAGCCACATCACCGATTTATTATTATCAGGATCTTTATCATTCTGAATTTACATATACATATAATAATTATTAATTGTAATGTATAATAATTTCTGTAACAGTCAAAATTTATCTATATATAAACAGTAATACCACAAATCAATAATACCACGAATTAACAATGGGAAATAATATAAACTGCAGTATATAGTTTTTTAATCATGCAAACATCTAATTTTGCAAAAGTACAGTTTAAGTGTATTAAATAAAATTCGATTACACATCGAACATTATCAAATAATTTATGAATTTTAGGAAAAATTATTAAAAATTTAATTAACGATTATTATATCCATAATTTACTCTTTAGAGCAAAAGCTCTATATTTGACTTTAGCATTAATAACTTTAACATTAAATATTGATACATACACCAATGACAGCAATCACCCTGAAGACAAACGCAGGCATATTAAGGCAGAAGAACGCACTCGAAACGAGCAGAAGCATTTTCGTGACTTTAGTCTGCGGCATTCTGTCCCGTGGAGCTCTCTCATTGGAAACGTCGGATTCTATGGTTAATGTTCTTCGGATATGATCGAGTTTGTAGATGTTGCGTGCTATCAGTGTATTGAAGATTACTATTATGGTCAAGGGCACGGCGAATGTCACGACATTATCTATCATATTATAGGGGATTGCCCAAGATTCCCATTCCTTGTCTAAATAACCACAGTCAGTCGAGTTTTCAGAGATTTTAGAGAACACGACCACTGGGCTGGTTAACAAAACTGCTAATACTGTAAATCCTATCACTATCATCTTCGCTCGGGCTACCGTGCACCAGAATTGACGACGAAGCGGCCACTTGACTGCTACATATCGTTCAACGGTAAAGGCTACCACGAACCAAACGCTAAGAAAGCTACAGAGAGATGCAAGATAGATAAAAAACTGACAGAAGCCCTGCCGATTGAATAGATCCACATGCACCATTTTTAGCCAGGACACGAAAACTGTCATTAGGAAACCGCTGTCGCTTATTGCTAGCGCTCCCAAATAAATGCTGGACGAGGAATAACGTAGCTTTGTACCAAAGAACACGAAAACGGACATACAGTTGCCCAGCAGACCCAGGAACACGAGAATCGGCGCATAATAGCGTTGGATGTTTTGGAAAAAACCGTTGATTTCATAATAGAATTCGTTTGCTATTGTGCTATTGCTTCCAGTGATCATCTTCTTGTTGTGTTAATCTTAAACCATCGCCAAATCATCAATGAAAAAAAAAGTGGAAAGCGATGCAACCACGCTCAGCGTACACAACTTGCGTCATGCACGGTGACCTGAAAGAGTATTAGTGTGTTCTATATAAAAGACGAGAATAAGAGAGAGAAAGAGAGAAAGAGAGGATATTACATACGTCACGCGTTTCCTTTAGATCATCGACATGAGGATTGAATTTAGAAGCAAAATCATCACTTGAAATTCGGTCGCTTGAAATTTGGAGAGCCGAATAACTGAGAAGATATTTAACATTGAAAATCAGATTTTTTAGTTAATTATGTTGTGACATTTGGCAGAGATCGCAAAATTTTTATTCCTTTAATTAATATTAAGCATTTCTAAAATTTAATTTTAAACAGATTTTAGTAGAATTATACATCTTACAGTAGATGTCAATATTATAGAACAAAAGTAATGAATGATATTTTCATATCCTTCTAAGTTATTTTATTGTCGCTTGATTTAGTACAATCATTGTGCATTCTTATCGTTGTACCCTGAAATACGGTCTATATATTTACTAAACAACAAAAGTTACGGAAAAAGTTAGCACTTATCACGCGCAGGAAATCCTTCGCGCAATAGATACGTTAACTAATCATTATTGCGCAAGTATTCAGATTATGTCAAACAAGTACGTCATACTTATATAATGTTATATTAAAATTTTATTGTCTTATTGAGACCAGGTACAGATTATTCGGTAACGTTTCTTCGACATAATTCTTTCTCATAGACATACTTTATTATATAACATTGAAAACTATCTTACAATGTGATGATAACCGCACAGGAAAAATTCTTATCTTTTTTACGCTATTGTGAAAAAAATCCGATACAGTTTGTAATCTCGGTGAATGTTTCTTTTGTAAAATAATGTAATAATACCTAACAGTCGTTTTCTAAATGTAAATAATTATGTATACTCGTATATATATATAGGATCGTGGAAGAATTTTGTTGATATAATATTTTGATCTTTAGTAATGACGAAGTTTTATATTTACACTTCAGAATGTATACGTTCAAAACTATTGGCGAATCGAAGAGTTTTATGTTTCTCTTTTGCTTGTTTATATATAATTTCTGATCAAGTTCTATGGTGCTTTTAATAATTCGTAATTGAACCGTTGAAGTTGATCAAAAGCGATATAAATTGATAAAAATAAAATATATGTTACTTTTAGTATAGTCAAACCTTGGCCTTAAATATAAAGCAACTTCAATTAAATTTTCTTGGAAAGGCGGTAATAAAAGCCAAACGAGGTAATATAATATAATTAAAATTGTTATAAAAGTAAATATATATAGGTATATTCTATTTACGAGTATTCTGACTTACGTATTTTCGGACTTACATCCAGTATGCATTAAGAATTAAAAAAAGATGAAGAATAAATAAATCAAAATTAAAGTTAATCTACATTGGTAAAAATAATAAATAAATCAAAATTAAAGTTAATCTACATTGGTAAAAACGAGCATTAATTTAATAACTTGTTTACATAACTTTATAATTATTTATGTCCAGAATAGTTAGTAGTACAAATATTATCACTAGAAAAGAAAGAAAACTAATAGAATTATTATTATATGATTACTATATATATATTCCATTATATATATTCAACTTACAATTGCAATCTCGGATCTGGTTGTAAGTAGACGGATACCTATATTTTTTATTTTTCAATAAAACTGTTTCTAATTTATTTTTTGTTAGATATAGAACGTTTACGTTAATTTATGGGGATGTTTTATGCTTATGGCCAAGACCATAATTCATAATATTTTATTTTAATAATTTATAACATTTTTCGATAAAATTTCTAGAATAGAAAAAAATCCCTTCACAAAGTGTTAATATACCGTCTTTCTCTCATCTCCAAATAATTATAGAAAAAATAATTAAGTAAAAATATGAAAGACGTTACAATATTAAATGATGTAAAAATTTTTAAGAGAGGGAAGAGATAAATATTTTTCTGTTTTATATTTTATATTTTTTTTTATAAATATAAACGGTTTTTAATTTTTTCTTATCTCAATTAAAATTGTAAAAAACTCGCTAAACATTCTTGAATATTAATTAATACATACCTGTTTACTGGGTTTCAAACATGTTTAACTTATGAAACGTGCAAACGCAACGTAATATTTATTGGGCCATCTGGATTCTGTAGACGATTTTGTGACTTTGGGAGAGCTCCTTTTAACCGCGGTCTTACAACACTTGAATGATTCAATTCATATACATGTCACACACCAATGTTCTAAACGGTTTGTAAGTATATGATGCGTCTTTTCGACACTTAATTGGCACGACATGTGCAGTGCCGACGTGAGACACGATGCATAATCCTTTCGTCGGCCGCTCTTTGAAATTGCTTAATGAGTTTCTCGTTTAAGATAGTCGCGTGACACTTAATTTTAATAGCGTAATTTGTTGACAAACGTAGATTAATTAGATCTTATAGTAGATCGAGCACATCAATATCAATCACGTTAATAGCAGCAACATGTTTCGCTTTTTCTATTTCAAACTGGAAGCAACAAATTATGAGTACGTAATTGTGAGAATAACTTAAATTTAATAATAGACGCACTTGATTTCCGACATACTATAATGCTTTTGGAGAATATATTCGAGTGCCGTCTCAACTATTTCTGCTGGATGCCCGACGCATCCATTCCTGATAAAGCTCATGCATCTAGTATTCCGGCTTCTGCGCATCAAAGTGATGTACAAATTCCCGCCTCTTCGTGGCATACGCGCCAATTTACTGTGTCGCAAGGGAAAGATTATCGCGATATTTTCGCGATTCATACATTTATATATATATTTTTTTGTGCTTTTACATATTATATTACGAGAACAACGTTTATATACAATATTTATATACAGAAGAAACTTTTTTTATATTATGTAATATATAATATAATATTATATTCCTTTAAAAATTTTTCATACATTATTATTTTTTATTTACAAAAATAGCACGGGAATTTGTTTTTATTACGACGCTTATTAATGTGTGTGTGTGTGAACTGTAATCGATAATCATAAGCTGATTATAATTATCATATAATATGTTATTATCATAAATTTATTATCGCTGCTTTTATAAATTAAATTTCAATGAGATTTGAAAGATTGAATTCATTCTGCACTCTAAACATACTTGAATTCTTTCAAAGAATATGAAATGTACTTCAGAGAATATGAACGGTTCTTTTCTTGTAAAAGAAGAAGTAATTATTACTTGCATGTCGTGTATCCTTTGATATATCATGTATTAAATTCTATTTGGAACGCATCTGTCCAATAAAGAAATACCTTTTTTTCATAACTGCAAAGAGATTTTTACTTACAATAAAATAAGGTTCCTTATATTAATACAATTAACAAATTTCAAATGGGCCTTTAGAAATCGGCGCTGTAATAATTGCGCGTTTATTTCGATTGATCTAAAACAATCCTCTAAAAAAAAAATAATATATTTGTCGAACGTTTTGGTTAATTTCTAGCCTTCATCAGCGAATGTATTGCGTAAAATCCATAAAAATCGTCATCCTGCGGTTACACACCGACATCAAATTTCCCATAACCAGTTAATAAGTTGAATAGTCAACGATAATTAACCTTAAATATAATAAATGAATATTAGAGTCGAAAAATATTAAAAAACTTACAGGAATTGCTGTGGAAATTCACCTCAGGAGTACGTCAAATACAAATTAGTCCTAACACCATAGTTGTAACGCAAATTCTTTTTCTCGTGAATTAAAATTTAAAACGGAACGACGATAATTAAATAAATATAATATATATTGTATAAGTCGATGATGTTCATGCTGCGGTGTCAATTGTCTAATATTTATTTATTATATTTAAGGTCAATTATCGTTGACCATCCAGCTTATTAACTGGTTATAGGAAATTTGATGAAAGAGCGTAACCACAGGATGAAGATTTTTATGGATTTTACGCAATATATTCGCTGATGAAGGCTAGAAGTTAGCCGAAACGTTCGACAAATATATTATTTTTAGAGGATTGTTTTAGATTAATCGAAATAAACGCGTAATTATTACAGCGCCGATTTCTAAAGGTCCATTTGTAATTGGTTAATTGCAAAGAGATTGTAGCATGATAAGATTTGGTCCTTCTGTAAAAAAAATATATTTAATTTGATGAAGGAAAAGGTATATACATTTAAGAATCAAATATATATACTGTGTAAATCTAATTTATGAAGTATGTATTTTTTTTGTAAAATGTATTTTCTATGTGATCAGGATTATCATTATAATACCAGGGAATCATGCAATATAAATAAATGCTAAATGTCATATCATATTTTATACTAATTAATTATTACTGAAAATATTATTAATCTTTAAAGCGTTCAACATATATACTAATAAATATTATCGGGCTATTAAATATTATTATTAGGTGTTAAACTTAATTCCTGCCGGTTTTTGTCTCCAAAATTCATTTGTTTCGAAGGGAAATACCTTAATCAAAGTATTATTAATAAAGTATTATTAATTAATAATAAAGTAGAAAATGGAGGAAATTACTTTGATTAAGGTATTCATTCATCTTCCCTTCGAAACAAATCAATTTTGGAGACGTAATTAATAATTAGGATAATTTGTTTAATTATTATCGTAATTAATAATTACGATAATAATTAAACAAAAGGGTTTCATAGATATTTATTATTTTATCTTGCACTACATATTTCCCTTACCGTTCATTAGCTTATAAAATACATTAGTTTATAAAATCATTTGTTATAGATTTTTTTAATAAATCCATTTTTTTTAATGGAAATTAATTAGAAATTTATCAATTATAAAGATATCTTTTTCTACATTTAATTTTTTAATGTTAAATATGATATTAGCAATTGATTATTAAGAACAAATGCCAGATGTAGATAAATAGAATTTTATTTTATTAAGTATATAACTTAATTTTAATTAAATGTGAGTCTTTACTTTATAATAAAATTTTGAAGCAATCTTGAGCAATAAGTGAGATAATTAACTTCTTCATTGATTGAGTAATATAGTTCGATAATTCTATTTGTGTATTGCTGCAGGACATAATGATCCTCTTGCAAGTGGCTCTGCCGCCACTGTAACTTCCGGACCGGGTCAACAAAGTAATCCCGCAGGTGAGATTTCTTCCGGTGGCACGGTTAGAGGTGGCACACTGGACGTCCTCCTGTCAACTACTTATTGCCGTAGCCAAATGTACCTTTCACGTCAACTGGCTCAACTACATCCGGAACTCACGATGCCGATGTTTAGTGGTAAATGGATTTTCTTATTAATTTATACATTTTTAAATCTGAATCGTCATGTTAAAGTTCGACATCAACGAGATTTTCAAGAGAATTATTGTTTTATTTTTAAACGTAAAGTTTTATGTTTCTATATTTCTGAAACAATGGCTCTAACGCAACATGTGGTTGATTAAGAATACTGTATTTCGTAATTCTATGATTATATAATATTGTGGCATTTATGATTACGATATTGATGTAAATGTTAATTCAAGGAAGAAAATAGTGTATGATAAAGTACAATTAACTTTTGTAGTCTACTGCACGTAGTAGTTATAGAGAACGTTGTTCAAAATTATTTACTTGCAATTAAACCTTCGTTTAAAATGTCGAAATATGATATACCCAGATAACATTTATGTTGCATAAGATATCTAAAAGACATGTTGTAGATGTTTTATGTTTAAAAGATGGCTAAAAGACGTCTTTTAGATATCTTATGCAACATGTATGTTATCTGGGTATATAATTACTTTCGTTTAATATGTACGATAATATATTTACTGTTTCGTACAGTTTAATACAAAAACTCATTTAAAATACAGATGCCAAAAATACAATATAAAATATATTAATTGTAAGTTGTTAAAAAAATTCCAAGCTGTTTTCTTCTCAAAGATTACGTTATTTCTGTGAAAAGTACACTGAGAGAAAAATGTTTGATATTTGTAACTATAATTACGTATCACTATAATTATGATTATTACTGCTATAATAATAGTAACAGTAACTATGCATATAGTTCTACCAACAAATGTATATAGTTGGCA